CAAATGGCATGACTAGGAACTCATAGTAGCCATCATGTGTCCTAAAAGCCGTTTTGTGAACATCCTCCCTATGTACCCTTATCTGATGATACCCAGCTCGTAAATCTAATTTTGAGAATATGGTGGCTTGACTGAGTTCATCAAGCAGCTCATCAATTATTGGCATTGAAAATCGGTCTTTAATGGTGATATTGTTAAGGGCTCTGTAATCAATACAAAATCGCCACGTCCCATCCTTCTTTTTTACTAATAATACCAGTGAAGAGAATGGGTTGTGACTAGGCTGTATTATCCCTTGCTTAAGCATATCTTGAACTTGCTTCTCGATTTCAAATTTTTGAAAGTAAGGGTACCGATAAGGTCTTACATTGGTTGGGGCAGCTCCCGGCATGAGGGGGATGCGGTGGTCATGCTCCCGGTGTGGTGGAAGTTCTTGGGGTTCTTCAAACATGCTGCCATATTGCTGAAGGAGTTGTTGTAGGCGGCTTTGGAAGTCTTTAGGCCCATTTGGGCTGCTGTTAGCTAAAGATGGGCTGGTCCAATTTGAGTCTATGTGAATGAATATGGGCTGATCCGAATCTCCCATTTGCTTTGTTAATGTTGCAAGACTGATGGGCCTTGGACCCTTGCATGTTTGCCCTTGTAGATGGACTGTAGAGTTCCTTGATGTGAAGTCCATGGTGAGACGGGCCCATTCACAGATCACGGGCCCTAGCTGTCTTAACCATTGAATGCCTAGCACCACATCCGCTCCACTGAGATGAAGAGGATATAGGTCCACTGCAAACTGGTGACCCTGAACCTTCAGTGGTAAGTCCATGCATATGCTATTGCAGGTTAGGCTATTACAGTTGGCCACATGAACCGTAAAAGCCATTGTTGGTTGAACTAGGAGTCCCATTTTATCCACCAAGACTTGAGTTATGAAGTTAAGGGAACTGCCACTGTCTATGAGGATTAACACTTGGCGTCCCTGGATTAGCCCTGCAACTCTCATTGTTTGCGGGGATGCAAGTCCCGTAAAGGCTTGTAGAGATATTTCAGGTGTGCCATTGGGTTGTATTTCCCACCCTGTGGTAGATTCCCCGCAACCAGTGCAGTCGTCTTCCTCTTCGGCATCTGTTTGGAGAAATGCTTGTTGTTTCTTGCACCGATGGCCCGGCCCGAATTTCTCTTTGCAGTTGTAACAAAGTCCTTTGTCTCTGCGGGCTTGCATCTCTGCCCAGGTTAGCCATTTGAAAGGAACCAATGGGCTTGGGCCCAGTATTCCTTCCTCCTTGTCTGGTGTTATCGTCCTGGTTCCTAGACCCCATGGCCGTTGCATCTTTCTTGCTCGAGTGAACTTATCCTCATACAATCTTGCTAGCGCTGCCGCATTTATGACCGAAGTGGGCTGCATCGCCTTCACTTCCAGTCACAGTTCTTCTTTCAAGCTGCCGACGAAGCTTCCCACCAGCGCCTTCTCCGTCCACCCTTGGACTCTCACTGCCAGCTTTTTGAACTCCATCTGGTAAATCTTTAACTAATCCCACCTATCGTATCTTTGCCAAACTCTCATCATGATCCTCGAACCCAAACGATCCAAAACGGAGTCATGGCATCAGTGAAGTCTGCCCAAGTTTGACGAGGGTGCCCCCGTCGGTACCATTGAAACCAGAGGATAGCTTCCCCTTCAAGATGCGCAGAAGCCAGAGCTACCCTATCTAGCCCAAGTGTCTCATGGTAATCGAAGTACCGTTCGGCTCTGAGAATCCAGGGAGTTGGGTCGCTGCCTGAGAAGATGGGGAAATCGATTTTGGCTGCTCTCGTTGCCGCCGGCCCTGTTCTGCGGTTGTTTTCATTGTTGCGCTCTTCTTGGCTTCCTCTGTCGTTGTTCATTGCCACATGCTCCAGCCGATTGAGGAGAGCAGTGAAACTTTCCTTCATTTCTTTGAAATCTGAAGACATTCGATGGATCTCTACCTCCATCTGATCCACTCGGGTGTCTATTGACGTGTTTCTTGTGTTGGTCATGCTGACTCTGATACCAACTTGTTAGGAACCTGCCTAACTCAGGGCTCTTCGAGGGAGCCAAACCTCCTGAATTCGTTGGGAAAGAGAGAGAGAGAGAGAGAGAGAGAGAGAGAGAGAGAAGGAGATTAATGCCAAAAGAATTCTTGTCCTATTTCTCTTTGTGCTTCACTACTTATACTGTTTACAATCTTTGATTTCTTTCTGTTACAACTGTTGCAAGTGGACAATTAGTTGTGCTGACATGGCCTCCCCTTGTAAAACTGATCAACTGCTTTCTGTTGGTCTGTTCCAGTAGTCTTTACACCACACCTTATTTATTAGAAAAGTTGATGGTAGAGTAACAATGTTGATAGTATATGTTGATGACATTGTTGTGACAGGTGATGATATCACAGGTATCTCTCAGTTAAAGTCATTCCTTGCTTCTGAATTTGAGATTAAGGACCTTGGTAATCTCTAATACTTTCTTGGCATTGAAGTTGCAAGATCCAATAAGGGGATTTTTCTATCAGAAAGGAAATATGTACTTGATTTGCTTCATGAGGTTGGAATTAGGGTGTAAACCTATAGCAACTCCAATTGATCCCAACCACTAGTTGAACTCTACTGAAGGAGTTCTTCCAGACAAGGGGGTATATCAGAGATTGGTGGAACGCCTTCTGTATCTTTTTTTTACTAGATTTGACATTTCCTATGTTGTTGGAGTGGTTAGCCAATATATGCATGAACCTAGGACATCTCATATGCAGGCAGTTAACAGAATTTTAGCCTACCTGAAAGGATGCCCTAGCAAAGGGATGTCGTTCCAACCACAGCCATGTAAAGATTGAGGCTTACACAGATGTTGATTGGGCAGGGTCCATCGATTATAGAAGATCTACATCCGGTTATTGTGCCTCAATTGGAGGCAATGTGGTTTCCTGGAGAAGTAAGAAACAATCTGTGGTTGCTCGTTCTAGTGCTAAGGCAGAGTACAGAGCAATGGTTCATGGAGTGTCTGAACTACTCTGGTTGAAGACCTTATTGACTAAGATGGGCATCCGAGCAGATGTTCCAATGAGACTATATTGTGACAATCAAGCAGCCATAAATATTGCTCATAATCTTGTCCAACATGATCGTACAAAGCATATTGAGGTAGACAGACAATTTATTAGAGAAAGAATTGCTAGCAGAGAGATTTGCCTTCCTTTTGTAAGGTCAGAAGGCCAACTAGCTGATTGCCTCACTAAAGGTGTTCACCATCCAAAGTTTGCTAAGAACCTTGCCAAGCTAGGCATGATTGACATATATGCTCAGCTTGAGGGAGAGTGTTGAGAATGGCTAGACAGGAGTGTTTTTGGTTTTTTCTCCTTTCTTATACTCTCTCAGTATTTGGGCACCCATATAGGGGCCTTCTTGTAATTATTATTTTCTCAAATTATAAAGTAATCTTTTGAGGGTGTGAACAGTGAATAAGACACACCTCTCGACACTTGCTCTCTTCTTCCTCTTCATCTTCTTCTCTTCTCTTCTTCCCCTCTCTTGAAACCCTAGTTTCTACAATTGAGGAAAAGGAGAACTTCAAAACAAATCAAACCATCAATAGTTCTCCAAGAGGTACTAGCAAATATTGATCAAGGATCTATTCTGATGGGTTTTATTGGATAGCACAAAGTCTGAGTACAAGGAAAATAAATATGACTAAGAAGATGAGTTCAGAAGCAAGGATTTAAATCAGAACAAATTGATTAGAAATAATGGCAGAACCTCAAAAACCATAAGACAAAACATAATTTGATTCCAGACAATATAGTTAAATTGTATAAACCATATAGGAAAACAAACACATATAACAGACCTGGAATCAGTTTTCAGGTAACAAAGATGAAGAAAATGCTGTCTAATTTTAACAAATGAAAAAGAAAAAAAATGAACAAAGCTAGTAACCAAGTCCAGAGCTGTCCATCAGAAAATATCACAGTTCAAAAAAGGAGGTTTGGATAAACATCACACTGAAGGAACAAGGATTAAAGATAATGTTAATGCAAAGGATTTCAAAGAAAACCAAGCTCTAATACCATGTTAATTCAGAGAGAAGATTTTTTGTAAAGTGACTTGTATTACTCTGTATCAATGTCAGACTCAAACAAATTACATAAATAGAAACTAACGTAAATTTGACTTAGCCTAACTACCAAATACATTAAAATCAAATCATAGAGATATCTAACAACATTTGCATAGAAAGGTTTGATGGACCATGCAGTAGAAACACAATAACATATCCCTTAACAATAAGAAACAACGATGAATAAGAACACAAGAAAATATCTTAATTATTCACTTATTTTCATATTATAAAAAAAAAGAGAGAGAGAGAAAAGAAAAGGCTAAGATGTGTTTGTCATATGTCCAAATTCCAAAACAAGCTGTCTTTTAGAACAGTATAAGTTCATTTGGCTACACCAATAGTAGAGTCTAGACTAAATATCAAGCCAATCAAAATATTAGCAATGTAAGCACATTTTGACAATTTGATTGACCCAATGCATATTAAGCCTACTCATAGGTAACTAATGCGGACCACTCTTTTGTTGGCAGCTTCATTCTTTGGATAGTTAATACCACTTGGAGCAACACCAATACAAAGTACTTTATAGGCCTACTCTGGAGTCTGGATTTTAAACAAGTGGCAAATACAAAGGGTTCTCCATCTGACAAACAGCTTAAGTTGTCACACACAAATACACAAGGTATCTGGCTGCCATTAAGGCACCTGAATCTAGAACCTTGGTCAGGAGTATTACTATCAAAAACAAAAGATCAATCTACACCACTTCAAACTTTTACATCTTCAAGCTGGCCTGTTTGTCATTTAAGCTTGTTTGGTAGAAGTAGAACAAGTAGCTGACACATCTTGTAAGCTAAGAAAGATAGGTAGTCTTGTAGACAAAACACACACACAGAATTTCACATAATTGTAGAAGATTTGTATTAGATCTTACCATGTTTTTTGTCAATATGCCATGTACATCTTGAGAATTCCCTAGTCTGCGGCGTTTTCCAGGATTCCGTGGGGATTCTTCACGAACAATTTCCTTCCCCATCTCTTGAATAAGATTATGCATTCCTATCTCATTTTTTTCATTGATTGTGACTAAGGACTTACCAGTTAGACTTCTGATCCCAATTTCCGAGGAGAAACCACAGCTATCCAGTATTTTGATAGCATAATCTTTCTTTGTTCCAACAAAGAAGCATGCAATATCAAGGAATAGAGCCTTCTCTTCATTAACTAGTGCATCAAAACTTACTTTGAGTTTCTTTTGGATTTGACTATGAGGAATTTTCAGTTTTTTAATTGCACCTTCCCATTCAAATATGCTTTTCCTAAACAAGAGAGCGCCCAAAACCTCAAGAGCTAGTGGAAGCCCTTTTGCATAATCTACTATACTACTTAAGAGTTCCAAATAATCACCTTCAGGATAGCCCCTTTTAAAGGCATGCCAACTAAAGAGCTGAATAGACTCAATCCAATTCAATTCTTTGACCTTGTATGTCTTATCCACTTTAAAATCATGTAACAAATCCTCATATCTAGTTGTAATGATGATTCTACTTCCCAAGCCAAACCAGTTGCACTTGTAAGCTAATGCTTCCAATTGTTCTAATTGATCCACATCATCCAAAACAAGAAGAATCCTTTTATGCTGCAGTCTTTCTTTTATCATTTCAATTCCTGTAGTGAGATTATTTATCTTTAAGTCTGTTTCCATTAAGATATCAGAAAGAAGTGTTTCTTGTAAATGAACTAGACCATTAGGTTGTTCTGAGACTTCTCTAACATTGGCAAGAAAGCTGCAACCTTCAAATCTATGGAATATTTGGTTATACAGAGCCATTGCAATAGTTGTCTTACCTATTCCACCAATACCACATACTCCAATAATGTAAACATCATCTGATTGGGAATCTAATAATGAATTCATTTCATTTACTCGGGAGTCTAATCCAACTGGGTAAATGGTGACATCCAACAGTGTTTTATTCAATCTCACCAAAACTTCTTTAACAATTCTTTGGATATATATGGACTGGTTCCTGCAAATTGTGATTCAAACAAAAGGAACAAAAAAGAGAGGGAAGACAAAAAGGATATAATTAGATGAAATAAACCAATCAAATAAAAGCATGAACTAAATTTGATGATATTTTATTACCAAAAAAATGATAATGTTTAACCCTCATCCTTATGACTCAAACTTGAACATAAAAAAATGCTAAAAAATGCTATCAAAGCAAATTTATGATGTGTTTGGTTTGAAGGAAAAAGTAGGGAAAGGTAGGGAAACCTTTACAAAGCTTGTATAAATTTCCTTACCTTTCCTTCCTTTCTCTACCTTTTCCCTCAAATCAAACATAGTCTTAAAGAACTACATGGTTAGTGCTGTTCACATCACGTATGTCTGTTTTAAAGGAAACACATCTATAAACAATTTAAAAGCAATTTTTGAGAATGTAACCAGGCATTAGACCAGAAAGTGCCTAGTACCTGCTTTTCTGGTTAAACCAGCAGTTTATTTGCACTAGTACAAATGCATCAAAGTTCAAATGTAAAAAATGCAAATTCTTGTTTAATTTTGTTCTGGATTTGACTTCATTCTGCTTCATGCCTTAAATTACTTCATTTGTACTGCAATCAAACAAAATAAGCTAAAATTTGAAACAAAAATAGGTCAGAATTTACACTCAAATCATTTGCACTGTCATGGTTTTGCATCAGTGCAAATTGATTTGCATTGCAACCAAACACAGCCTAACAGTACTGTTTTTCCCTGGTTTCCACTAAACCAAAAAGGGATCCAGTTCAAGTTTCCAGTTCAACCAACCAGTTTGGTCTGCACAAACTAAATTTGATGATACTTATTACCACAAAAAATGTTGATGTTTAATCCCAGTCCTTATGACTCAAATTTAAACATAAAAAAATGCTATCAAAGCAAATTTAAAGAATTACATAGGAAGAACATCTACAAACAATTTAAAAGCAACTTTTGAGAATGTAACCAGCATCAAACCAGAAAGTGCCTGGTACCTGGTTTTCTGGTTCAACTTTAACCAGCAATTTAACCATAAAGTTCTGTTTTTTCCTGGTTTTCATGGAACCAGATTACCAGAAATAGATCCAGTTTAAGTTTCCACTTTCCAGTTCAACCAACCAGTTTGGTCTGGGTTCCCAAACATTGTTTAAAGATCATAACCCAATGCTGGTCCTAGCTATCTACGACCTTGGCACTCTGGATCTGCTACCCAAAAATTGTTCCCACTGAACACCACAACCGTGTATTGAGAACAGCTTGTGGACAGCTGTAATTATTTGTGGGTAGAGATGTGGAACAGCTTGTGGGTAGCAGATCTGAGCCTGGATCATAGGAGGAGTGGACTGGATACAGACCCAACCTTTGGCATTTTTTGCACCAAGTGGCCACTCTCAGACCCAAAACATGTATTATCATGCTTGCCAACCCAAGATTTTATCATTACATTAAGCAATGGCCCCTTTTAGAACATTGTTTAAAAGATCTTATTCACATTGAAGAACAAATATCTGAATCAACTGATTCCATGTAGCTGCCTAGTTGGACAGCCATGTGCAATTGCATCCGTATCAGTTATTGTTCTTAGAATACTATGGAAACCACTCTCTTTGATGAATTAATCAAGACCTTCCTAGCATATTTTTCCCTATAGTTGAAAGCTCTTTGATGAACTAAGATTCACCTTCTTAAAAATCAATAAAATTTAACTAAGATTTTTTTTTTATTTTTTGCAAGCAGGAGGGACAAAATAGAGTAATGATTCAGCAGAACCGTTCACATTGAATAAGACACTTGAAGATGCCCGTCATTCATTGGGATATTAAAATTTTGTGATGCATTTTTCAGTATGAGAGCTATTGCTAGATCATTGATTTCAAATAGAATTGATTAATTGAAATAATGATTTGGCTAAATATGGGGTCTGGGAACATTTGACCAGCCTACAAATCCAGGGTATCCATGACTTAATACCTGCTCCATGTTTCAAGTATTGGAACCCACCATTAGATAAAACATCAGCTGGGAAAAAATTCACTACATACATAGTGTTATGACCTATAATCGCTAAGGGGTGGTAATAGGCACCCAACACCATAGTACCTGACAGGACTAGAACTGATCATTAGGGACTTGGAACTGAATTTTGGCCCTGTTGTATCATAGATTCCAGGTATTCTAACTCAACAAAGCCTTGTCCCAACTATATGGAATGCCATATGGATCTTGTTCCCCATTTTAGTTCAATGCCATATCCATTGTCAAATTATGGTGTATGGATTCCAACCCTTTGGCCTGCTCCTAGCAAAGAATAAGAAGAAGAAAAAAAAAATACTCTTTGTTTCCTTTCTTTTGGTATTATGTATTACACATCACAGGGGACAGAGCAAGGTGCGCATGAAGCCCACTGACCTTACCATGGAGAGCCTGCAACTATGCAGGTTTGATCCCACACCTCCATATTTGGAGGGATGCCAAGTGACCATCTCAGCAACTAGGTTGTCAGCAATTTGCAATAGGTCACTTCTTACTGGTGTTGTATATTTTGAATCCAGAAAAGAAAATTAAGAGGCCATATGATTCAGATTCAATCAGGTCCAAAACCTGACACTGAAATATTCTGACTCCTTGAATTCCATTTTTGTTTGTAGTGGTCTGGATTCCAGTATCATGTGGGTTAACTGTAATAGTTTGGACAAAATTAGAGAGGTTGTTTGTGGGTTTGAAAATTTTGTACTTTCACATATATCTAGATCTATTAATAGGGCAGCTCACCTTAACGCTCAAGAGACTAAGTATTGGGAGTCTTAAATTACCACGGTGGTATGATCTACCAATCTGGCTAAAAAAGTATGAAGAATTGTAGATCCCATGTGTTTGTGTGATTAATGAATTTGTTCATTTGCCTATCAAAAAAAGTAGCAAGTTATGAAGACAGTTTGCATCCTCATGGCTTAAACCTAATATAATGGTTAAATTCTTCATTGACCATAAACCATCAGAGAGACAGAGAGCGTTTGGTTGGGAATCATAAAGACGTAAACACGACGGATGCGATGCTAGTAAACAAGGAGTTTATGAAACTCTTTTTATTCTTCGCCAAATAGACATTGTGGGCTTTAAACAGTTGCATTAACTCGTTGTTTCTAGCATTCCTCCGCCCAGGGCGACCTTTTGAACGACCTCATCTGGTCAATGTCAACCGGTCCCGGTCTCTTGTTGGCCGCCGGTGTGGAATTTCAGCTTTTATAAAGAAAAAGAAGTACAATTTAATCCGATATATTCATAAATAAAAAATAAAATCCAAACAACTTTGTTTTAATTGAGGATTACCCATTCAAAAAGTTATGTGGATTCCATCGAGAAAATTTTGCAATTTCTGTAAGAGCTTCCGTCCACATCTGCACCTTCTGAATATTCACCCCCGCCTTGACAAACGCTTCCCCAAAATTCCCAATCCGTTTCTGGACCTCCGATGCATCGATCTCGTAGAAGACAGGAAGAATCAACTGCCCAATCCTCTTCCAGCATTCTATGACTTTCACAAGTTCCTCCAGGCACCAACTTGAAGAGGTATAGTTGTTGGAGAAAATGATAACTGAAATCCTTGATTCTTCTATGGCTTTCAGCAGTTCTGGGGCGATTTCCTTTCCTCTCCCGAGTTCTTCGTCGTCTTTGAAGGTGTTAATTCCTCGATGGACCAAAGCCTTGTAAAGAGGTTCAACAAAGATCTTACGGGTGTCTTCACCTCTAAAACTCAAAAAGACATCATAATTCCACCGGAGAGTGGTGCCTGTGGTGGAAGACAATGGAGAAACTCCCCCGATCCGATGGGAAGAAACCATCAAAAAATAAAAATAAAAAGCACGAGAGAGTGACCGGAGGAATGGCTGAGCCTGAGCGGCCTTTGAGATGCCTGCCGCCAGTGGGGTGGTTACTGGTTAGTAAAATGGTGATTCAAGATTTCCCCATCTTATCGGTCCATAGGATGCATGGACCTTCCACGAACACGCCACATCGTGTAAGGTCGGTCTTTGGTTCTTGACAACTGACGGAACTCGGAACTGGACTCTTACGCCCTGTTCGTTTTTGAAAAGTTCCTTTCACCCGTAAGTGTATTTACCCAATTATATATTTGTAAAACTTATTCGACTAATAAATCACTTACAAGGCATATTTCATTCGTTCAATAAATTGAGAAATTAGAATTGTCAATAAGTCCAAACTTAGTTCAAATTTCTCAAGAAACAATAAAATATATAAATGAATGAAAGAGAATATAATGAATTTATTCAATTAAATAAAGCTTATTTTGATTCTCAATTAAGTTTTCTATATTTATAAAAAGTCAATATTAAAATGGAAAAACATTAGAAATTAATTAACTTATCCATCCTCATATAGATAAGTTTTATCCAAGTGAATGAAATTAATTAACTTTATTGTAGGGCCTAATACTTATTGAAAAAAAAAAACAAAGAAACATTAGAAAGTTGGTCGATGGATATCACTTTTCTATTAACTAACTTCCCAAAACAATGGACAAGGTCTTAACAATAATTCCTTCATCATGTTTCACAAACCAATGTTATGTATTGATGTAACCGTTTTTGGTCATGTACCAATTTTTTTTCGTGATGTATCAATTTTTGGCTAAGTACTTCGTCATTTGACCTGCTTCCTGGTGGCCTGTGACTCAGAGGATGATGGAGCTCCCTGGTGGCGAACTGCCTGGTGGTGAGCTACCTGGTGACGAGCTCCCTGGTGGTGAGCTACCCGGTGACGAGCTCCCTGGTGGTGAGCTACTCGATGACGAGCTTCGTGGTGGTGAGCTACTTGGTGACGAGCTCCCTGATGGTGAGCTACTTGGATGAGCTGCTAGGTGTGTTGCCTTGTTGGCGAGCCTCCTAGTGTACCTAAACAATTGCCCATCAATAGAAAATTTGGATTTGTCAAAATTGCAGTTTATAAATAAATTGCACCTTTTGAATTGCAAGAAGCTAGCTCAGATTCAACTCCCAGATTGTTTAGAATGCGGATTCTCTGTTGACATGGGAGGTTGCAGTAATTTGACATATACCAGCAAGGAGAATCTCTTCAAGCTCCTCGAGGTCTCTCTCTCTCTCTCCATGTGTTAAATATCATTATCTTGCATTTGAATGGGCTATAGGACGCATATGGAGAAAAATGATATTCCTAACTTGGCAATTGATATTGGGAATTGGTTGGAAGCTGGGGACCAAATAGAGGTTTCAATTGTAGCTGCCACAGTTGGGAAGCGGATGGAAGTTAAGGGCCGTTTGAAAGTGTTGAAGTGTGGGGTGCATCTGGTATATGCTTCAGATGATGATCTACTGTCAGAAGAAGAAGAAGATGATGATGATGGTGATAAAATGATCTTGACGAAGATGATGCCGAGGTTTTGAGATTAATTAATAGTAGATGGGGAAGGGTGTAGCAATGACCATCTTACTTGTTGAGAGCAAGCACTATTTGCTATTAAATTGATCAATTCAACAGCCAAAGTCCCCTTACTGTACAGACTATGAGCAGTGCACATGGAAAAGGTAAAAAGGATGATGTTAAATTGGCAATTGTAATTGTTGAGTCTCTATTTTCTGTTACAATGCACATTTTTTAATGAAAACCAATTAGAGTGTACTTAGAAATGTCTACATTCAATACAACAAGACCAGATGTAAAGACCATGTTCCCTTCCTCTTGAAAAGGGCTTATGGATAATTAGATTTTGTTTCCCTTCCTCTTGGAAGTAACTCTAGAAGATGAAGATCATGCTTAAACGAATGTATTAAATTAGATTTATGTTCAGACCCTTCATTCATAGAGTAGTTTGCCCCCTCCCCCCTCCCCCCTCTCTCTGTCTCACACACACACAGTTGGAGGCATATAAATCTACTACTTTGGTTTCAACCCAGCTGACATGTACTGNCCCCCCTCCCCCCATTTTTATAAGTTTCTAAGAACTTGATCTATGGAAGATAAGAAATGGTCTATGATGTAACCTCTGTCAAGTTGGTATTTATTTATTTGTGTAGAAAATTTAGTCATAGAAGCAGCCTACAAGAATCATTGGAGGCAGAAATTTCAAGTTTATTGAAATTGCGTTCTTCTTTGTTTCTTTTTCTTTTCGGGGCTAGAAGTTCATTCTATAGATGAAATTAACATGTAATTAATCCAAAGCACCCTGCACACAAACCAGATAGGCGGTCTAGATTTATCACTGCAAAAAGAGGGAGCAACTATTCCTTATAGGCTTGAAAGCCAATTGTAGATATGAGTAATGAATATTAGACACATGTTGAATTTGTTTGAGCTGTTATTATAGTTATCGTTTACAGCTATCACTTAAACACGTGTAATTAGTGTTTGGGCCAATAACAAGGTAGGTTTCATCGATGGATCAATCAACATACCAGACTCCTCAAAAACTGTTGAACTACTAGTATGGAAGAAATGTAATTCAATGGTTATTTCTTGGATTTTCAATGCTCTAGCTTGAGAGCTGCATGAGATCATTGCATATGTGGAGAATGCTCGTGAAATCTGGCTCAACTTGGAGGAAAGATTATTGCAAGAAAATACTGTGCATCTTTCACCTGAAGCAAGAGCTGATACTGTTACAACAAGAAAAGTTACTAGTCTCCATCTATTATACCAAGATGAAAGCGATTTGGGATGAACTCGCAACATACACAATGACTCCAATGTGCTCGTGCGGTGACACGAGAAAGGAATTCTTGGTAGAAAAGGAGAAAGAACGCATACCAGTTTCTTATTGCACCAAGTGATCGTTTCAATATGATCAGTACTCGGTATGGATCCTCTGCTCAGCATAGGATGTATTTATGCACTGGCCTCTCAAGAAGAGAAACACTAGGCACTAGCTAGCAGTTGGACTCCTACCATTGATGCAACAGCACTACATGTAGCTAGATCATTTTGTCCCAACAACAACAAGAATAAAAAAGAACGACCCAAAATTTGATGCGAGCATTGCAAGAAACAAGGGCATTATAATGATCGATGCTATGTACTCATGGAATAACCTACAATTGGGAAGTGAAAAGGAAAAATACAAGGAAGCAAGGCATCCTTAAGGAATGTATTGGTGGGTTTGGCAGCTCCATGACACCGACATCAGTTCAAACTACTGCAGTAATTGAAACCTCGTCACCAATTCCTGGCCTCAATCTTGAATAATATCTTCAACTTCTTCACCTACTAAATGGAGAAAAGTCAGGAATCTCATAAAATTTTGTTGGTAAGCCTTCCTACTCTCACTACATTTTGCAGTCTAATTCTTGGCTTTTAGACAACTTTGGATCATATGGCTCCTCTTGGATCCAACCACCAAACTATTCTTTCCCTAGAGGAATAACCTCGACATATACAATTACCCAGCAAAACTCTCCTCCTTGTCCACTCTCAAAGGAGATGTTTCCATCAAAAATGATTTTATCCCAAGGATGTGTTATTCATACCAGAATTTCGATGTAACCTCTTATCAATAAGATTACATCAAAGTTGAATTGTGTTGTTACTTTCTTCCCCACATGTTGTATCTTATAGGACTTGATGTCCAAGAAAGTGATTGGGGTGGGCAAGATGCTTGATGGCCTCTATTACTTTAGTGTGCTTGTGCCTTCACCACTAATTGCTCTACATTCCAGTCGTGATTGCAGTTCTAGCCTCTGGCATTCCAGATTTGGACATGCTTTATACAACAAATTGTCTTTAATCCCAGAATTAAACGTTACTTTACCTAGCAATAAATGTTGTAATGTTTGTATGTGGACAAAATAAACACGCCTATCATTTCCAATCACTACCTCTCACTCTGAGTCTCCTTTCAAACTCATACATTGTGATATATATGGGGGGGGGGGTGGCTACAAAACCCCAACCCACATTGGTGCACAATAGTTGATGATTTTTCTTAAGCAACTTGAGTATATCCATTAAAAAGTAAATCTAATTCTTATGCATTTATTCTTTTCTTTTTTTTAATGGTTAATACCCAATACCATATTACTATTAAATGCATTAGATTTGATAATGGAGTTGAGTTCATGTCTGGTATGGGGTGGCTACAAAACCCCAACCCACATTGGTGCTCATTACTTTCTTACAATAGTTGATGATTTTTCTTAAGCAACTTGAGTATATCTATTAAAAAGTAAATCTAATTCTTATGCATTTATTTTTTTCTTTTTTGTAATGGTTAATACCCAATACCATATTACTATTAAATGGAGTTGAATTCATGTCTGGTCTAGTTTAAGCTTACATGATGCAATATGGAATTCTGCACCATACCTCCTACGTGAACACTCCTCAACAAAATGGGGTCATGGAAAGGAAGCACATACACCTCTTAGAGATGGCCAGGGCACTGAGGTTTCAAGTTGAACTTTCATCCAATTCTGGGGCGAATGCATATTGACAGCTGCATACCTAATCAATCAGCTTCCCTCTTCAATACTCCATGGCAGAAGTCCCTTCCATTTGCTTCTCAACCGAACACCTTCTTATCAACAGTTGTGGGCCTTTGGGTGCCTCTCGTTCAAGATGATGTGTGTTTATCGACTACCCACGTAGCTAGAAAGGTTACCGGTTACATGATCTAAACACCAAGAAATTTTTATTTCACGGGATGTGACTTTCTGCGAGCAAAGCTTCCCATTTATATCTTTTTAGACTACTGATACAAGTAATTCACCTATAATTCCCCTCCCAACTTCTGATGGCACACTAAATCCATTGCTGGAATCCCCACTTGCCTCCCCTAATTGTGGGCCTGATATTGTCACTAATGATCCACCCACTGATGGGCTTGATGCTCTACCAATTACTCAAATTGATAATCAGATTTCTAGTGAGCACATTTCTTTCATTTCATTTGATCGTGGACCTATGACCAATAGAGCTGTCCAGGTCCACAAACCATGATCTCATCTTAATGACTTCATTTGTCCTTTTCTCCAAACATGGCCCACTTCTAGACTAGCATACCCTATATCAAATTAACTCACTACATAAAAAGCTTTGGCTTCCCATACTTCTGAAATTATTGATGTGACTCTTGAACCCACTTCTTACATACACGCCTAATGTCATGAGTGTTGGTGACAGGTCATGTAGGTTGAATTACAAGATCTTGAGCAAACTCGTACATGGACTCTTAGTGAATTACCACCAAGAAAAACATTCATAGGCTGTAAATGGGTGTACAAGATCAAGCGTCGACCCGATGGAAGCATTGAGCGCTACAAGGCTCGACTCATAACAAAAGGGCACACCCAAATTGAGGGTGTGGATTACACCGACACCTATGCCCCAATCGCTCAACTCGTAAACATACATTGCCTATTAGCCTTGGCTACAGCTCAAGGTTGGCCATCTTCATCAGATGGACATAAACAATCATGGTACTCTACATGAACATATCTATATGCTTAAACCGGCCCAACATGTCTGACTTGCAACCCTAATTTTCACCACCACCCATTTCAATGTGTACAAGAATGCAGGGGAGGTTGGAATGCTTGAGCAAATGCTAGCGAGGATTAAAGATTTTGTTTCCATTAGCTAATAACCCATAATCAGGACTGAGCAAATAGGCAATCTTACATGTACTTTATTTAGGACTGAATAGCGAATGCCATGGTGTTTCTAGCGTTTGAGGTGTTTTTTATGTTCTTTCTAAAATTTTTTATTTGCCTTGGAAGACAGAAAATTGAGTAGAAAGGTTTCCACCTACAGTGTGACAACTCTTATGGGAAGTAATGTACGCCTTTATAGATGCCTAGTTACCTACACATAATTAACTAAAACAAAGGATAATTATCATCATCATCTAAGCCTCGTCCTAATTACATGGGTTGGTTACATAATCCTATTTCACCGTTGCATACTATTTAGTAAAGTGTATGATATCTAGATGTCCCAATACGATGATTGTGATGTGTTGATTGAAGAATGATGTAACCTGGGCCAATCATTTTCAACAAATACCCCCATGACCATTGTGTGGGAACTGGGATCTGCTCCTTATGCCGGGCGCCTCACATGCACATCTCACCATGCTTTGGGTTCCCATAAATAATAGCATATTAGTATGGAAGATGTTTCCAATGCATGATGGGATGTGCCTGTGAGATCGGTGTAAGGTGCCCTGTGTGGACCTTTAGCTTATGATGTAATAATGATTGGTTGATATGATGGTTTAGGGCTGTTTAATATCATGAATTTTATTTAATAAATGTTTTGTAGTATTTTTATCTTGAAAATTAAGAAAATGGTTTATAAATTATAAATGTTTATATGGTTTTGTTTGACATTTAAGCACCTTTAGACACCACATAAGTTTAATAGTATTGGAATAAACATTAAATAATGTTTTTTCCTAATGATTGGCTCTCACACAAATAAAAAAAAAACATTTATTTAATAAATGGTCTCACCAAACACCATACGAATAACATTTTGGAATAAATAACTATATGATAATAAATTAACACCATTTTTCAAATAAATGGCCACAAAACCAAACACCATTGCGAGCTCCCTTATTTGAGCTTTAAATCATTTTGGGCCTTAATACGGCCATGAAACTGGGAAGAGTGAGTTACCAAATAAGAAAGAGAAATTCCTAGCCAGTAGTTGTATGCTGAGAGGAGAATGTCTATTTAACCCTCTTTTACTGCTTTGTGCTTGTAATGAGTTCAACCAGGTGTAATCGTTTTCTGGTTGATTAATGAATTTCGTATACTTCCCCTAAAAGAAAAAAAAAAAAAATGAAATGACAATTGGATGAAATATTATGCGAGGTCTTCGGCTTGGAGCATGCAGCCTGAGTTGACAAAGTGATAACTGAAGCCCAATATATAACTCAATAGATGATCGATTTGATTTAACACTTAGCACATTTGAACAAAATTTCAAATAATAATTTAAATGGTATTTAACTAAAATTATGCCACAGAAAGTTGATGCCTGATTTAATAAACTCAAAAGGATGTTTGATTTAGAAAAGTTCAAAATTAGTTACGAGGGAATGAAGGATTAATACAACTAAGATGATTGATACAATCAGTGCAGAGAAAATTTAGATGAACAAACCATGTGAAGAAACAACCCAAGAAACTTAAGGAAAAGCAGAGCTTCCTTCTGCGTTGGTTCAGGGACATTTTCCCCTGTTTGTTCTGCTTATTACTTTGTTATATAAAGAATGAAAAGTAAAAAAAGAAAATGAATAAATATGATTTTATAGTATGCATACTCTCTTCAATGAGTCGACTTTTAACTTGACAACGTTCAATAAGCAGTTCGTGGGATTGAATAACCAATGACAAGGAAACGTGGTGGCAATTTAAGACCAGCTGGTTCCTATGACACCTTCCAGATTGTGAAGAAGAAAAAGAAGAGTACGAGGAAAATTGGTGGCCAGAAAACTTACCGACAGATTAAAACTCCTCTCGCTGCCAATGGCTTCCGATTTGACTGACACTGGTGTGGATTGAGCTCGCCCGTGCTTATGGGGTAGGGTTCCGTGGGAGAGAAAAACAAAATGTGGATTCAACATTTTGTGTCCAATTCAACCGGCCACTTTGGTTAACGGCCAAAAGTCCAAACCAACGTGATCAGCTCTTTTTAGCGAGTTCATGCATCCAGTGAATCCACGGGTCCACAGAACAGACTCCTAAGCTACCAAAAGACGGGAGATAAAACATAGACCGTTGAATCCATTGGAAATATATCACTAAATCTTCCAAGTTGATTTTAATACAGGAATTGGAATGACTTGGTCCATGATAACAAGAGCAGGAGATTGTCACTCTGTTCGTGTGTGGTGTGTAAATAGCCATGTGTGTAAATAGCCAAAGATCAACATTATCAACTTGCTACTGCCCTAAGTTCACTCTTCTATATAATAAAAACATGGATTCTACAAAGATTACCACATTTTTTTTTCTAAAATATAAATTGTAATCATCATTATTGGGGACAAATGGGAACAAGGGTTTGGCCCAAGAATTTGGCCGAGAGATACAAAATAAAGAGAGCATCCCATAGAGATCCCATATTGCCATGGTATGTCTGGTTTACTGGTATCTACAGACTCACAAGTAAATACATGAACCAATATGTAACATATTTATCTATATGTATAGATCAAACATATAGTAAATATATGATTTTGAGAGCAGGAACTCAAACTTTTTGTTGCAAGATGGTAGACCATGATCATTAACATGGAAACAGCAGCGAAGACCCATCTCTCTGCAACTTACCCCCTGATAAATCAAGCTTGTTCATCTTTTCTTCACACCAAAATAACTGCTCTTTGCTTATCCTTACCATTCTAAGAACCCTCGATATGACTTTAACATCGATGAGGCTGAAAAATAGTTCAATTTCCTCAAATGTTGCAGGCCAAGATTTCTTTTTCAACCCCTTCTTTTTACGAATGTCCTTCAGTTTAGTCTCTTTCTGCAGTCCAAAGGTTGGTTGAAACGTGAATCAGTTTCTAGAAATCAGGTTATATACTCTTCCTCAACAATTCGCATGCATAACAGTAAAGATCTACATCAATAAAAAATAACAATAAATCGATGTATGCATTAAGATCTATAACATGGAACAAAAGATTTGAATCCCCAAAAGGACTCCTTAATGTTCTTCAGACTTATATGACTAACTCATCCTATTCACATCCCTATTTCTGGCTCATAGGGAAAGTTGTCATCATGTGGTGGGTTATGCTGGATCTCTTTGTACTAGATATTCTTTTTGATATTTTAGTGGAACACGTTTACAAGTTTTACCAGCTTATTATTCAAACTACAATGTGAATTGAGTTCCCATACCATGATTTTCTGATACAGTTGAACTCTCATAGCATCAATCAGGTTTACAAGCTTTCCTTCAACCATACTGAAAATAAAACTTCAGTTTACCATAATCACTGTTCACTTTGTCCAGTCTATGTAGGGATATATAAAAAAGATTTCCTTTTTTTGAACTTAAAAGTCCTGTTATGCAACAAGAGATTGTAATCGAAGCTAAAGAATAGAGACAAGTACATTGATAAGAAACCAATACAAGTTCCACCAAGAAACAATGATCCAGATAGCTGGAAGCATTATACGACTATAATAGAATCAAGTTACTTTATTCTAAAATAAAGGACAGGGATGCCAGCTAGGCAGCTATTATCATCATCATCATCAAAAACGCTGCCTTGTCTATGTGGGAATGGCCAATATTAGTCAGTAGGTTATGTATCAGAGTTGAGCAAAGTTAAAGATTTACCTTTTCAAGAGAAGATTTAATCTGATGTAGTGGGCTTTCTATCTGGTTTTGGCCTCCAAATAGACTAAGAGCACTTGATTTCTTCTTGTCCATCTTCAGGAAAAGGCGGAAGGTCAGGATTGAGTCCTCAATTATCCTAATTAGGTCAGAGGCAAGGACGGGCAAATCTGATTCTTCTTCAAATTCTTTCTGGTCCAGAACTGGGAAAAAAACATCCTTAGGGAAATCAATTTACAATAGTAGGATACAAATCCACTTTGTTTTCTTAATAACATCTTCCAACCAACCAACCACGCACACACACACCCCATTCTCTTTCAAGTAGGTAAGCCTGGATTGAATAAATAATCCAAGGGCAGCTAAATGGCGGGTTCAGCATTTCATATAGAAGGCTAACCAAGCTAGTTTATGAATCCATCTGCAATGATATTTACCTTGAATACTTGGAACCTGAAGCAGCTTAGGCAAGGAATTTCTTGTTCGAATATATATTTCGACCCTGTTCCCCTGGTCAAAGGGCTCATTCTCAATGTATCTTTGTAACAAAACCTGAAATTGCTGAAACTGCTGAGCAGCATGGGTGTAGCTGGTGGAGCTTTCAGGTTGGGATGAGACTTTCTGGCTCAACTGGGTGTATTGGCAGTGAAGGGCCTCCCAAGTTAAACATATTTGTGCCACATATGCTGTTTCAAGATCTTGGAGTGGATTCTCCTGCTTCTGCTGTAGGTGATCACTATCATCTTGTGGTTCTTCCCGCTTTTTGAAAGAAAGATTGCGAAGGGCAGATGTCAGCTTCCTAGGTGTAGATCTTGGTGATGGAGTACTTGGAAGTTGGGATCCTGAGATGCAATAAGCCTGAGTTGCCAATAGGGTTCAAAAACTGAATTTTCAGTTTCCAAAGAACTCTACTTAACAGGGAAAATGAGACTGCTCAGAAAGATTCTGAATAAAAGGAATCTAAATATGCTTCAGATTAGAAGCACATAGAGAAGCTGGGAGGTAAACTGAATTTACAGAATTAACTGCAAATCGATGAAACAAGAAAATGTTTTTATTCAGTATTTATTTACCTGCGTACAAATTCATTCTGATTATCTTGTCAACAGGCTAAAAACTGGTTGTCTGCAGTGTTGAAGCACTTGCTTTATCAATACAAATATTTGGATTTTGAATGAAAAGATAGAATGCCAGACAAACATGATTGTTTAGTCCTTAGCAGATAAGTATGATTTTGCACTACCGATCATACAAAAGCTGCAATTGACCAATATGACTTGGATTAACTGAACTACTTGAAACAACTTTTTTTTCCTGTCAATTCATCAAGAATATGAAGCAACTGGACAAAAGTGCAAACACCAAAAATGGCACATTGCCAGCATTACTAGAAAATGTAATGAATGTGTAATAGGGCAGACATTGCTTCAGATGTTGATTGATATTTGTTACTTGAGGATACAAAATTGGATCCTAATGCCCAAAACCACTTGCAAGATCATACACTAATATTTCTGAACGCTCAAACAAGCCACTTGTACCCAATTGTAGCCCCATTGTCCAAATGCCCTATTATAAGAGATTAAGAGTATGTCCCTGGCAAAGTACGATGGTTATTTTGATGCATCATCAACTGATAACATATACATGTATCATAATGTTCCATCTGGTGGACCATGCATATAAGCAGTCCCCAAAACTGGTAAAATTCAGCCTCCTGCAGATTGCATCTGGAAGTACAACTTAAGATATTTACCACAAAAGGGATTAGCTGGGTAAGATCACAGCGACCACTCACTTTTATGAATTTAACACAACATTTTCAACATATATCCTTCTTACAGCAATGGAGAACAAGATGAATAAGTAGTTGTGATAACTGAATGTGAAAAGTGATCACTGGGTTGAAAAATGAACCTATCCTTGCCATGGGAAATTATGCCATTGCACGCAGTCATAGGCCCTTAGCATCTCCCAGCAAGTACCTTCACTGGGAAGAGCATAGCAACCACATAACCTGTTAACTATTGATTTCTAATCATCCTGCATTTCCGTCAGTCTATAATTTTTCACCCAAATGGCTGAACTTACAAGGCATGCAAGAGAATTAAAGGCTTATAAGGATTCAAAGACAAAAGAGTTCAAAAAAATTAATTGAAACTATTGCATAAAGAAAGAAATTGCCCATATTCAGATCCAAATAAACCATTTAAGTGGATAGAATTTCATCTCGCAATTGGAGAATTAAGAATACTCAACTTGGGCCATTAAACATAAAAATTGACGATGCCCATCTTAGGAATTCAAAATTGAAACTCATCCAAATGCAAGAGTGGCATGTTACAGGATGCAAAAATCCAAGGGCAGAGGAAACTACAAAGTGAACTTAAGACAATATAGGAACCCAACTTTATTCAGATTCAACAAGTGCTCAACAACTAGTAAACTAAGAACTTATTTGGTAGGGAAAAGAATCATTGTAGTACCCAATCAAATTTAAAAAATAGATACCAGTTGAGTATTTCAAGTGCCGAATCAACCACAGTATATAATCTTCCAAGAGCAGATCCTAAATAGCCCCTTAAACAAATCTTGAACAAGGAGATTAACCAATGAAAGGTTCTTCAGATTGAAGTACTTGATCGATTTTAAACATCAACTTTAAACGTCAACCGTTGCATAATTAACATCTACAACTCTTGAAAGTTTGATATGTTGAAACCAAGGTGCCATACAAAGATGATGTGGATCATGTTATCCTTGGGCAAAAATAATGGATGAAAAAGAAAGAAATAAGAAATGTGATTAAACCCGAAAAAAAAAAAAAACAGTTTACCTGCTTCATGCAGTTGCTGAGCACTCATTCGATCAAAGAACAGCATCCTCTCACAGTACTTGTCATAAACCGTATCAAACCGACACCATGGGCGACCATTTTCCACTTCCGGTTCCTTCCACTCACTTGAGCTTGTTTCCTCCTCCTCTTCCTCTTCTTCAGCGCATGACTCCTCAGGTATCAACACCATGAAACTGTTCCTTCTCAGCTCTTTCAGCCGCCTCTTCACCTCCTTAGTTATAAAATCATCGTCATCATCATCCTCAGCTTCGGCTGCAGGATCAACCTTCGACGATTTAGTCAAGTCATCTCCATTCTCAGTCTTCATTTCCTCTGGTGGGGTCACCGGCTTATCCTCCTGATCTTTCTCCGGATCAGGCTTATGAGCTTTCCTGAACTTTTTCACCTTAAAGAAATCCATCTGACTTTCTGATCTTTGCAAACAAACTTTTCCACTTCAAAAACTAATCAACCCAGATTCTTTTTTGCTCAAAGCGTTTCAAAGATCGGTTTCTTCCTCCTGAAGCACAACTTGGATCTAGAACAGTACTTCAACTCTAGATTCACAGCAGAAAAAAGTTCCCTTTACAGAAACAGAACTTCCTCGTTCGAAGAATAATGAGAATACTTTTTCCTGAAAATGAAAAGGGGATCACGTAAGAATAAACTATAAAGCTGAGATACTAGCAAGAAAAGAAAGCAACAGAGACCCTGAAAGCAGCAAATCCACCATTTTCACAAATAAATAAAAAAAAAAAAAAAAACTCTACAAGAATTTCATATTTCTGAGCCAAGAGAGCTCTCAAAACTGCTTAAAACACCTCTGGATCCGGCTTCCTTCTTTAGAAATCTCCTGCAACTCCCCTCGGCACAATGTATGAAATCTAAGCAAGCTCAAAACACTTAGCACGAGATTCCCATTGAAAAGCGACAGCTGTAGCCCCGTTTCTGTCTCGACCAACAGAAAGCTCCACGTACATTTCCCGCCAACTTCAGGATTTCTGAAACACTGCAAAGCTTTGAATGAAGTCGCGCCTCGTGCACCTTAAAACAGCATTCAAGTGCACGCTTCAAGTCTTATAAGATCTGCAGGCCTTCATTACTCATAAAGCACCATCTCTCAAACTTTCTAAACAACTGGAAAAGCTCCAAACCACATTTCCGAAGTACCTTAAAGCTTAAGAAAAGCCCCAAAAGTACAGATGATTAGCTAATAAACTAATAAGCAGTTTCAGAGAACCGTCATTGTCTCCAACAAGAATCTTGGAATGCTGGAAAAAACCGGAAGAAATTAAGAAAACCTTCACCACGTAAGGCGGTCGAGATTTCTGAAACCCGAGAAATCTCAGAAACCCTAGGATCAAAGATGAGACAAATCCCTTTTAAAAATGGATTAAGACAAGCACAGGAGGAGGTGGTGAGTGCTAATAAATTCGAAATTTCCATTTTTTTTGAAAAAGAAGACTTTCTGTGGTTTCTTTTTTTTTTTAATAATTTCAATGTTTGTTTGATGAATCTCGTTCTTCTATCTCTTTATCGCTCGCTCTCTCGGGTTGGATTTGAAACCGAAAAGGTCGAAAGGCTAGAAAAAATAGACGGGACGTACAGAGTTGCAGAGAGAATATTGTCAGACTCGCTCCTCAAACAGAAACACGGAACATGTTTCAGTGAACCTAAATTACAAAAATTTCCTTTAATGAAGTGTAAATGACTGACAAGTCCCTGTGTTAATCGCTTTTAATCATAATGATACTAATAATGTATAAAAAACTATGCATATGTATTTTTATCTTTTTTGTTTTTATATTTTATATTTTTATTATCAGAACAAAGATGGCAAAATCTAAATCTATTTATATAAAAAATTTAATTTAAATATCATAAATATCATTAAATCGAGTTGTAAAACTTTAATTATTATTGATAGTTTTATTCGGATTTTTCTTTTTATAATGTTTTTATCTTTTTTGTGTATTATTTATTTATTAAATAAATATAAGATTTAAATAGAGATAAAAAAATGAGGTGAATGATGTTGTTGGATCCAAGTTGTGCCGAGTCGAATACGTAGCAGATAGTCCTATCAATTTGACAAGGTCAAGGTGGAAGGACAAGTTAGTAATGAAGAGAGAGATTGGTTGGGCTGAGCAAATAGAGAGCTGGTCTAAGCCGAAGCGAGTAATGACGTAATGGGTGCTAGATCCCAAAGAGCTTACCTTGAGAGGGAGATTTTCTTTATATAGACCGAATACCTGTATTGTAGTCGGATGAGGTATGCGGGGTTGTTTGGATGAGGTCACCCATCGAGGTTCTTAGTAGGTCCTACTCTTCCTAGTGGGTTGTGTCTCCTTGTCCGTGCAAGACTCTACTTCATCATGAGGCCTCTTTGTGATGCGGTTGTGCTAACATGTGTCGACGTGATCTGAAGTCACTGGCCATAGAGGAAAATCACATGGAAGCTTTGGTCAACTAAGGTATTATCCAAATAGTGAAAAAGTAGTAGTAAGAGTGTCAATGGACTAGATTTGGCCACAGAGGCAAATTAATTTGGACGAATTGGACGGACCAACAAGACATACTAGATTGGACCAATATGGTCCAAAATATTTATTAGATTGGATTAGACCCAGTTCGACCGTAATAAATTTATATTGAATTAGGTTGGATTAAGTCAATATCTAGTTCATTGATATAAGATAAGAATATAGGGGGTCAATGGATCAGGTTTGAGTTGAAACCAATCTAAACTAAAACGAATTTGAACAGATTGGATGGTCCAAACATTGAACTGGACTGGTCCAAAATATTTATTGGATTGGATTAGATCTAGTCCATTTGTAATTTACTCACGTTGGACTAGAGCGGATTAGACCAAATCCAATCCAATTGACACCCCTAGTAGTTCAATTTACAATTTAAACATCACAATTAAATATGAACTAAATTCAAAATTGAGTATTTTAGTAAAAAGAACGTTTCATAATTTTATTCATATTTTTAATAATAGTGTAAACATATAATTATAGATGTGTTCAATTTTTTCTATAATTCTTTTTGTATTTCTATGTGTAAAAATAATTCTACTATGTCACACTTACTTCTTGTTTAATATGATAATTATATGATATTATACATGTGCCTGAATGTTCTTTTGCAAAAATGTATTCATTTTTTTTTTCATTTTGTACTTTGATATTTTATTAATATTTATTTATTTATGGCATTCAACACTCACAAATTTGACCTAAAAGTCAAACTATGGATCTTTGCCAAATAGTAAAATAATTTCAGTTTTGCTCAATTCTGAATTCTATATTTAATTTTCATTATCAATAGAAAATATTCTTATTTATTATACTTTTTTGTTTCACTAATAAAATATCATAAATGTGTCCAATTTTTTCTACATTTTGTAATTTTTTATATTTATTTTTATTTAAAAAATTTTATTACCTAGATTATATAAGCTGATCAATTTTATTACCTAAGTATGAAATATGGGATAATTTTAATCCAACAAAACTTCCACTATGCATTCCCACTTTTATATAGTATAGACTAGGGAGATCACATCTGCTCCCCACAAAGGGCGGCCCACATTCACATCTCAACATGCATTAGGAACATCTCCCAAATTTGTCAATGGGAGATGTTCTGAATACACAGTTGTGATATTCTATCAGGTGCAACCCATGGGGTGTCTATTGAATGAGTATGGGTTGGATCATGCGAATTGAATTTGATTTGGATGGGTTGTACCGTCCAGTCCAAAGAAACACACAAATTGTATTTTAGGGTACATTGCTTAAATCTCCCATTAAGTTTCTAATTGTTGCTGAAACTTTCCTTTCCCTGCAATTTGGTACCTCTTTTGAACTTTTTGATACAATTGCAAATAGATCCTTTTTATTAGAATTTTCTAAAAATAGACATGAAAATGTCAAACATCCATACATCTCCTTTGTTAGAATCCTCAAAAAATAGACATAAAATATCTAAAATGCACATGGAGTTATTTTTGACCAAAATGTTTATTTTTCAAATTTTCTATTAATATGAATTGCTACCCGAAATCCTTATAATCTTTTTTTTTTCTAAAATTGATTCATTTTTCAAAATTTCCCTTCATATCAATCACTCAAATTTAAAGCTATAACTTTAAATTCTTTATTTTTTGTTATTTACAAAATTTATATTGTTTTTTCATAAAAACCAGTCTCAATAGTAATTTCATGAGTATTTTAGACATTTTCATCTCTCTTGTTAGAAGTTGCTAATAAAGGGGGTCTAGTTGCAATTTTGTCAAAATGTTCAGAAGGTAATTAAAATTAGCAAACTTCAAGAGAGATTTCAGTATCTTTAAAAAATTTCAGGGGATGTTTTAGTAATTTACCCTTTCCAAGTAGAAACTTAGCAAAGAACGGTAGGTTACTGGTTTACAGCTAGATTGGTGGGATTGACCATATCTCATACCAATATTCGCCTTTCTTTTCAATTAATTATTCTGGTGTTTTAACTTTTAAGAATAGAGACAAAAATTTTTAGGGATTGTTTGGTAACAATGCCATTTTTCTTAGATTTTGGAAAAACAAATAAATTTGTACAAAATCATAAAATAATATTTTGTTAGTGTTTATTCTTGTTTTAAGGCACATGGGTGCTACTCATGTACGAAAACACCTAATATAAAGTTTTTGAGGGTAAGATAGTATAGGTGAGAGGTTTGGGATAATACATAACAAATAAAAATTTGTTAGAGGAATAAATTATAAATTTCCCATGAAAAAACTGTTTTCTTCACAAAGAATACCCAAAATAACTTTTTTTTTTTTGAAAAACTACTCTCACAAAAATTGAGACAAAAAGTTAAACAACATTTTCCTAAAAAATGGCAAAAAAAGTCAATCAAATAGAGGAAGTCACATCTGCCCCCCACAGAATGCACCCAAAAACGTCCCACAGTGCATCCCAAATGTGTATTGGGAATATCTCCCCTTGACAAGTATGGGAGGTGTTCTCAATGCACACTAAGATGTGCATGTGGGGCATTTTTGAGGCACATTCTATGGGGGGCAGATGTGAACTCCAAATTGAAGGATTCTCTATTGCAAAAAAATTCTTATTTGTGACACTCATTGGGCAGCATTTTTCCAAGAAAAAGGAAATGCTATCAAATACCATCTTAATTGATTGGATACAATATAAGAGCAATAGCATTTCTAAATTCCACATACCTTCTATGCGGTGAAATGTTTTAAAACCTGGTCCCGAGATTGAAGCACTTTTATTCAGGATAATGGGTCAACGATTCAATTATTTGGGTCATGGTTTTTGAACCACCATTGATCTATATAGTTAGACCATTCAGCCTAGAAATCATCTAGGCAACTAGTTCCATTTCACCTTTATTTACCAAAAAGGATTGATTTGGTCAGAAATCCATTGACCCGAGGCAGTCGAACTGTTGACTCGTTAGACGCAAACAACCATTTTTATTTTAACCATTTTTTGTTTTTGAAATCGTAAGGGCTATCCGTCTTAATTAGACAATCAAAGTACTGATCCAAAAACTGTGGCCAAAGCGTTTGGAATCGTGGGTCGACTTTAAAACATTGATTCGGATCAATTGCTCAATCAAGGATGTCATCAATACAAAGAATTCAAAAACATAATACAAAAACTTGATAGTATGCTAAATGGGTTAGATGGGCTAACTTTTCAATTGTGGGTTGACCCTAAATGGGATTATAACTGGGCCATGGGGGTCATCAGTTCAATTGGCTGGATTAATGATAGATTGAAAAATACTCGTGTTGGGAATTTGGATCATCACTTTCTTGTTGTATAAACTGATCCAAATCAAGTGAGGTAAAGGCATCAGTACGCACATATAAACACGTGTATTGGAACCGATATGAATGGACGAACGAGATCCTAGCAAGCAAAAGAGAACACAGGTTCCAACAATCTTCAATGACATTCCTTAATCTCCAGTGGTTCAACAGATTATTTTAGGCGGTCAATGACGAGCTTCGAATCTCCTATCACAATAGGTAAATCCTTGATGTTGATGGCAATGTTTAGAGCTTCCCACGCGGCCCATGCTTCAACTATGTTAAGGCACTCCCTATGAAGTATGTTTTGAGGTGAAGCACTAACCCTTTATAATCTCGATCAATACAGGTCACCAAACACATACCTTCCTGATTACAAGAAGCATCAAAGTTAATTTTGACCACTCCCATTCTTGAAGCTTTCCACACAATGGACTTCCAACTTTTAATCTCACTCGCCATCCCCTCCTTAGACTAATTAGTCTCAACTTTACAGAAAAGGTGATGAACCTTATTTAAGAGGAATGAGGGGGGATTAGACTTGTTATTAAAAATAAGATTGTTTTTATTTTTCCAAATGTTCCACAAAAGAATCACTATTTTTTCCTTCATAAGAAGATTTTTCAAATCAGAAAAAGAACTCATAAGCTTTGACCACTAGTTTGCAA